AGTTCAGGTCTTATCTTGGATTTTTTGAACCAATAACACCTATTTAGTAAAACTGAAAATATTACCAGTTTTTTTAATTTTTAAAACTAATAACATTATCGAGTTTGTATTGTAATGTTCCAGATAATTGTTTCACTAACTGATAAAAAAAAAACAGAGCATGAGATTAAATTTTTTTTCCATTCTACTTATTTGTTTGATTCAACTATCCAATATAACCTAGAATATTATCAGTTTTTTCTAATTTTAAAATTGAGAACATTATCAATTTTTTTAAAGGTTTTTTTTTTATTTTTTTATTTTTTCAGTTTTACAAATCAATGTTCTATCATCACGCTCCTTTATAGATACAAAATTTTCAGTTTTGCACAAAAAAATAATTTAGTTTTTTCAATTTAAAAAAAAAATATATTCAATGTGTTTCTTTTCAATTTTCTGGATTCAATTTTCTAGAAATTAAGATTTTTATTTTTCGTATTTTTTTTGTTTTTAATAAATATTTTAAACAATTTTTTAATATTTTTTAGATGCACTTTACTTAAAATGTATCTAAAAAGTAAAATATTTATAAAAAAATTATTTTAAAAAATCAATAAATATACAATAATACGAAAAATGTACTGAATTCTTATTTTTTTTAATTTTTTTTTGGTATTTAGTGAATTTTTTAAAGATTTTTTTCACAAATATTATACTTTTTAAGTGTATCTCAAAATTTAAAAATTATTTAGAATATTAAAAAAATTTCAGTAAAAATAAAAAAATACAGAAAAATAAAAAATTTCAATTTTCTAAAAAGTGAATCCTGAAAAGCCAAACAAAACAAGCTGATTAGTTTTTTTGTTTTTGTTTTTGTGCACGTAATTTTTTTTAGTTTTTTCAATTTGAAAGTTGAAGTTTTAAAGTTTTGAAAGTCAAAATAAATGTCAAATCATCATATTCCTTTATAAATAATCGTAAATGATGAACAATAATTATTTGAAGAGCAATTCTGATTATTAAAAATTTAATAGGACTTGAAGGTCCAAAAAAATATTAATTAGGATTTAATAGAGTATAAGTTTATAAATTAGGACTTATGTGTAAATGCATCTATATTTTTTTTATAAATTTAATTATTAATATTTATATAATTTTTCAATGACTTGAAATTTGTTTTGAAAATGTGTAGTTTCCATAAATAAAAGAAAGATATAAAAATAATAATTTTTTAAAAATAGTTATAAATTAATAATAAAATTTATAAACATTAGAGTAAATAATTACCAATAGGTCTTAATTGAAAATATAAAAATAAAAAATTTCTAATCCGCCGGACTATTTTTCTAATACTAAGTCTTGAAGGCCCATCCGAATCACCTTGGGGAAGCCCATCCTAATCCGGAGCTCACTATCAACCCCTTCATATCTCTCAAAATAAACACAATATTAGTGGGTCCCACCTCACTACTAATCTTAATCTCCTCTCTAACTTTCCAAACAAACGGGGCCTTAATTTTAGTTTAATTTAAAAAATGACATTACTAATTTTACTAAATTGAGACAATAGTTAAAATTCCAATGATTAAAATAAAATTTGCCAAATTTCATGATCAAGTTCCAAATTCCACTCGAAGAGGACCGGCGGTCCGGTTAAATAACATGCAATAAATAAAGGGAAAATTACATACAAGTGGAAAGTTAGAAAAATATTTATATATTAATAAAATTTAGAGTTAATTATTTAAAAGTTTTATTTACAAATGTTATAGTAGTTCAGGTCTTATCTTGGATTTTTTGAACCAATAACACCTATTTAGTAAAACTGAAAATATTACCAGTTTTTTTAATTTTTAAAACTAATAACATTATCGAGTTTGTATTGTAATGTTCCAGATAATTGTTTCACTAACTGATAAAAAAAAAACAGAGCATGAGATTAAATTTTTTTTCCATTCTACTTATTTGTTTGATTCAACTATCCAATATAACCTAGAATATTATCAGTTTTTTCTAATTTTAAAATTGAGAACATTATCAATTTTTTTAAAGGTTTTTATTTTTATTTTTTTATTTTTTCAGTTTTACAAATCAATGTTCTATCATCATGCTCTTTTATAGATACAAAATTTTCAGTTTTGCACAAAAAAATAATTTAGTTTTTTCAATTTAAAAAAAAAATATATTCAATGTGTTTCTTTTCAATTTTCTGGATTCAATTTTCTAGAAATTAAGATTTTTATTTTTCGTATTTTTTTTGTTTTTAATAAATATTTTAAACAATTTTTTAATATTTTTTAGATGCACTTTACTTAAAATGTATCTAAAAAGTAAAATATTTATAAAAAAATTATTTTAAAAAATCAATAAATATACAATAATACGAAAAATGTACTGAATTCTTATTTTTTTTAAATTTTTTTTTGGTATTTAGTGAATTTTTTAAAGATTTTTTTCACAAATATTATACTTTTTAAGCGTATCTCAAAATTTAAAAATTATTTAGAATATTAAAAAAATTTCAGTAAAAATAAAAAAATACAGAAAAATAAAAAATTTCAATTTTCTAAAAAGTGAATCCTGAAAAGCCAAACAAAACAAGCTGATTAGTTTTTTTGTTTTTGTTTTTGTGCACGTAATTTTTTTTAGTTTTTTCAATTTGAAAGTTGAAGTTTTAAAGTTTTGAAAGTCAAAATAAATGTCAAATCATCATATTCCTTTATAAATAATCGTAAATGATGAACAATAATTATTTGAAGAGCAATTCTGATTATTAAAAATTTAATAGGACTTGAAGGTCCAAAAAAATCTTAATTAGGATTTAATAGAGTATAAGTTCATAAATTAGGACTTATGTGTAAATGCATCTATATTTTTTTTATAAATTTAATTATTAATATTTATATAATTTTTCAATGACTTGAAATTTGTTTTGAAAATGTGTAGTTTCCATAAATAAAAGAAAGATATAAAAATAATAATTTTTTAAAAATAGTTATAAATTAATAATAAAATTTATAAACATTAGAGTAAATAATTACCAATAGGTCTTAATTGAAAATAAGTCATAATAAAATCATTATTAAAGATAATATTTTCTAACGATTTTCTACATATGTCGCAAAAAATTAACAAGTAGTGACTTTTTTTTTTTATGGTTGTTATAAATTGTCGCTAAAACTTACAATTAGTGACTTTTTCTGTGATGAATTTTTCAAACTATCACTGAAAGTTAAAAATTAGTGACTTTTTTTATAACAATTTTTTTAAACTGTCGTTAAAACTTATAATTAGAGAATTTGTTTGTGATGATTTTCAAACTGTCGCTTAAAATTAATAATTAGTAACTTTTTTTAATAAGGTTGAATTACATTAACAGTCCCTATAGTTTGATACTCGTGTCACTTTGGTCTTTGACTTTTCAATTGTGATACATTTGACCATGGATTTTAAATCTTATTCCAAATAAGGATAATTAAAGATCCCATTGCTTAATTTCATGGGCAAAATCGCCAATTTGATAAAATATAAACTAATTTGATAAAAATAAATGTCAAAAAAATATTTTAAATTTTTAAAAATTATTTTTACCCACCAAAAATAAAATTATGTAAAATTGATAAATGTTTTAGACATTTATTTATTTATTTTTTACCAAATTAATTTTTATTACGTGTTTGGATGATGATCATGTAATAGGTGGTTGCTAGGATTTTACTGTGTAATCGATATATTTAATATATGAATTGTTTTTAGTTTTGAAGTTTTGTTTGGGATGATATATATAAGTGCACTTTTTGACTTTTTGGCTAAAAAAAATAGAGGAAAAAATATATGTTTGGGATAACTTTTTGACTTTTTACTAAAAGATATGTAATAAAATATTATAGTAAAATCAAAATGACCATTCTACCCTTGTAAACTTTTTGACTTTTAGCTTTTTGATTTTTGGATATTTGAATTCAAAGGGCAAAGCTTCCCCCAAAATAGTATGAATTTTTTGATTTTTTTTAAGCAACTTTTTGAATTTTTGGCTTTTGTAGATTATCCCAAACATCTACTTAATGGATTGATTTGATAATGATATTAAAATTATCGCTATATTTGACTTTTGAAAAAATATAAATTAATTTAATAAAAATAAAAATAACTACCGATTACATGATCATCATTCAAATATAAAATAAAAATTAATGGGGGATGCACCAATAAATCCCAAATTAATAACTTATGCACTGTTTAGTCCTAAAAGTTTTCTTATAGACTGAAAGGTCTCATTACAATGTTAATAACATCAGATACAATGTTAATAACATCAGAGTCATGTTACAAACATTGGATTTCAAACATCTAATGTTCATCAAATTTCAATAATGTTTGAAAATATAGGATGAAAAACATCTAATGTTCATCAGATTTCAATAAATTTTGAAATTATAGAATGAAACATCAGATCATTTACATCATTCACATCATGTTGATGTAAAAATGGGACTAAATGGAGCATAAGAAAACTTTTAGGACTAAATGGTCAACGTTTCAAAAACTAGGACTTATGGGTAAATTTTCCAAAATTAATTTGATAAAATAAATAAATAAATAAATGTCTAACAAATTTATCAATTTTACATAATTTTATCTTAAGTAAGTAGAAATAATTTTTAAAATTTCAAAAATATTTGTTTGAAATTTATTTTTAACAAATTAGTTTATATTTTATCAAATTGACGATTTTATCCTTAAAATTAAACAATAATATGTTTATTTGAAATAACATTTAAAATTCAAAATTTATAATTAAAAAGTCAGCACAAGTGTCGACAGTTAGTGTAATTCACCCTTTTAATAATATTTGATAAAAAATATAATTAATTATTATAAAACTTATTAGATAATAAATTCAGATATTAGACCCTAAATATTAATAATTAAAATTAATTTTTTAATTTTTTATGACTACCGTGTAATTGTTATTTCTTAAAAACAACTCCCCAATCCAAATCACCGACTCTCGAATCAGTAGTTTAAAAACTCGCTGTTAACTACTGTAACAGTATCACAATCGTCCTCACCTCTTCAACGTTGGGGGACTTGAAGATCACGCAACGCAACCACGTTCTTCGTCTTCAATACCCAAGGTACTTCTGAAACCCAAATCTCATTCATTTCTCACTATCACAACACATCACGACATGGTTTTCCTCAAATCCCCAGACAACAAAACCCTAACCCTACACCTAGACCCCACCACGACCTCTCTCCAAGCCCTACACCTCGAAATCGAGCGCAAATCTGGTGTTCCCGTGACCCTTCAACGCCTATTCTTGTCCTCCCGCCGATTAATCGGCGGCGATGGAACCGCCACCATTTCAGCCTTCGGTGTTGGGCTCAATTCAACCCTAACCCTATATTTCCCTCTCCTTGGAGGTATGCAAGCCCCCGTGGTACCTAAGAGTAGGTTAGAATTCCTCAACACCAAGCCTCCGCCGAATTATGTGGCTGGGCTGGGTCGTGGTGCCACTGGGTTCACCACCCGGTCCGATATTGGTCCTGCCCGTGCCGCTCCTGACCTCCCTGACCGGTCTGCCACCACGATTGGCGGTGCGGGTCCAGCTGGGGTGGGCCGCGGGAGGGGGAAAGGTGCTGGTGAGGAGGAGGAAGAAGATGAGACCGATGATAAAGGGTACGATGAGAATCAGAAATTTGATGAGTTTGAAGGGAATGATGTTGGGTTGTTTGCATCGGCCGAGTATGATGACGAAGATAGGGAGGCTGATGCGGTGTGGGACGCGATTGATAAGAGAATGGATTTGAGGCGGAAGGATAGGAGGGAGGCTAGGTTGAAGCAAGAGATTGAGAAGTACCGTGCCTCTAACCCGAAGATTACTGAACAGTTTTCTGATTTGAAGAGGAAGTTGTATACAATGTCAGCAAATGAATGGGATAGTATTCCAGAAATTGGTGATTATTCGTTGAGGAATAAGAAGAAGAGGTTTGAGAGTTTTGTGCCAGTTCCTGATACGCTGCTTGAGAAGGCTAGGCAAGAACAAGAACATGTTACCGCGTTGGATCCAAAGAGTAGGGCAGCAGGAGGGACGGAGACCCCTTGGGCACAGACCCCGGTTACAGATTTGACCGCAGTGGGTGAGGGAAGAGGGACTGTGCTGTCACTGAAGTTGGATAGGCTTTCTGATTCTGTGTCAGGTTTAACTGTCGTTGATCCGAAGGGGTATTTAACTGATCTTAAGAGTATGAAGATTACTAGTGATGCAGAGATATCTGATATCAAGAAGGCTAGATTGTTGCTTAAGTCAGTTATCCAAACAAATCCAAAACACCCACCGGGTTGGATCGCTGCTGCGAGGTTGGAGGAAGTTGCAGGTAAGATTGCAGCGGCAAGGCAGTTGATAAAGAAAGGTTGTGAGGAGTGTCCCAAGAATGAGGATGTGTGGTTGGAGGCATGTCGGTTGTCAAGCCCTGATGAAGCAAAGGCTGTGATAGCCAAGGGAGTGAAGGCAATTCCCAACTCTGTGAAGTTGTGGATGCAAGCTGCAAAATTAGAGCATGATGATGCAAATAAAAGTAGGGTCTTGAGGAAAGGACTTGAGCACATACCTGATTCTGTGAGGCTCTGGAAGGCTGTTGTGGAGCTTGCAAATGAGGAGGATGCAAGGCTTTTGCTGCAGAGAGCTGTCGAATGCTGTCCTTTGCATGTGGAGTTGTGGCTTGCTCTTGCAAGGTTGGAAACTTATGACAATGCGAAAAAGGTTCTCAATAAGGCAAGGGAGAGGCTATCCAAGGAGCCAGCTATCTGGATTACTGCTGCAAAATTGGAAGAAGCTAATGGAAATACTGCCATGGTTGGAAAGATTATAGAAAGGGGTATTAGGGCCTTGCAAAGGGAAGGAGTGGTTATTGACAGAGAAGCTTGGATGAAAGAGGCTGAGGCTGCTGAACGAGCAGGGTCTGTTGCCACTTGCCAGGCTATCATTCACAATACGATTGGGATTGGAGTGGAGGAAGAAGATCGGAAAAGGACGTGGGTTGCTGATGCGGAAGAGTGCAAGAAAAGGGGTTCTATTGAGACAGCCAGAGCTATCTATGCTCATGCTCTTACAGTTTTCTTAACTAAGAAGAGTATTTGGCTCAAAGCAGCACAGCTTGAAAAAAGCCATGGGACCAGGGAATCTCTTGATGCTCTACTTCGTAAAGCAGTAACTTACAGGCCGCAGGCTGAAGTTCTATGGTTAATGGGTGCCAAAGAGAAGTGGCTTGCTGGCGATGTGCCTGCAGCCCGAGCAATTCTTCAGGAAGCTTATGCTGCTATTCCCAACTCTGAGGAGATTTGGCTTGCTGCATTCAAACTTGAATTTGAGAACCATGAACCTGAGAGGGCAAGAATGCTTCTTGCTAAAGCTCGAGAAAGAGGAGGTACAGAAAGGGTATGGATGAAATCTGCCATTGTTGAGAGAGAATTGGGAAACACTAACGAGGAGAGGAGGTTACTTGACGAAGGGCTGAAACTCTTCCCGTCATTTTTCAAATTATGGTTGATGCTTGGGCAGCTGGAGGAACGGCTTGGTAACTTGGAACAGGCTAAGGAAGCCTATGAGTCAGGTTTGAAGCACTGCCCCAGTTGTATTCCCCTTTGGCTTTCGCTTGCTAACCTTGAGGAGAAGATGAATGGATTGAGTAAAGCTCGAGCAGTTCTCACCATGGCCAGGAAGAAGAATCCTCAGAACCCTGAACTCTGGCTTGCTGCAGTACGAGCTGAATCCAGGCATGGCTATAAGAAGGAAGCAGATATTCTGATGGCTAAGGCATTGCAGGAGTGCTCTAATAGTGGTATTTTATGGGCAGCTTCAATTGAGATGGTCCCCCGTCCCCAACGTAAAACCAAGAGCATGGATGCTCTCAAGAAATTGGACCAGGATCCACATGTCATTGCTGCTGTCGCTAAGCTATTTTGGCTCGATAGGAAGGTAGACAAAGCAAGGAACTGGCTTAACAGGGCAGTGACTCTTGCACCAGACATTGGGGATTATTGGGCATTGTACTACAAATTTGAACTTCAGCATGGAACAGAGGAAAACCAGAAGGATGTATTGAAGAGATGCATTGCTGCAGAGCCAAAGCATGGTGAGAAATGGCAGGCAATATCCAAGGCTGTGGAGAATTCCCACCAGCCAACAGAAGCCATCTTGAAGAAAGTAGTTATTGCACTTGGAAAGGAAGAGAGCTCTGCTGAGAATAGCAAACACTAGTTGCCCATACTTTTAAAGCTTCATGCATCCTGGTTATGTAATTGAGCAAAAGTAGAAATACGCAACCACCCTACATTAGCTGCTATTTTCATGTGATTTAGGAGGTTTGTTCACATCATTTTGTGTCTTCTAGTTACTATCTTGAGAGCTTAAACTTATTTTGAAGCAATTTCTGTTGGTTTATTACAATTATATGGTGGACCCTCTTTTTTTCTTCAAACAAATGCTTGTTTTCATTTTATGTTTGTTTATCTTAAATGATGAATATGGATAATTGTTGTTTTACTTGTAAGTTGTAACATGCATATGTGCATTTGTTGGCAGGAATACAATTATGGATGATTCTTATCATGTACCTAATGATCCATCATAGGAGTATATGTGGAATGTGGTGATTTCAATGAAACTACAACTTGAAACTTAATTTCTGAGATTGTGTTTTCAGTTGGTTGAATGCAGTAATTCAAACAAATAATCACCATGATGTCTGAAATGGAAGAAACAAATATACTTTAATCATCAAGCGTCAATACTTTCCTCAAGAGTTGCTCAATGAATCTGTTGTGACTGGAATTATGGTATAGGTAGTTGAAAGAAATAATGAACCAAGTTCTCAGTGTCTTTCACTTTACTTCTCAGTAAGAAAAAAAAGGGAAATCAGTAGCTTTCATTTTCTGGTTTACACATTTGCTCTATGGATTTTTTTGGATATATATTTGGGGAGAATGTGCCATGGTTGCTTGAGTCTGCTGGAATATTTTTCTGTCTTATGAGGAGTTCTCCCATAGTTGCACTGCTTGATGAGGAAGTGAAAGAACATGTGATGTCATTAGTGTTTTAAGTGAAAATGGGTAATTTCTTTATTACGATAACTTTTCCACGAGGTGTTCTATGTATGTTGTACCTGTGCAAGGTGGCAACTAAATAGCTCAAAATGCCTTTTTTTTTTATTATCTCAGAAGCAAATTCAACTTGCAATTTGGAGGCCTAGATCAATTGCAAAAAGCAAAGGGTTAAATCACCCTAATGATGTAATTGTTGATCACTTCAGCTTTAGAATTTGATTTACAAACAAAAGTTTATAGTCAGTGCTGGACATACTGGCAAGTCATTGGCATGGTTCAGTTATTACTCAGTTCTTGTGACTTATGATAAAAATATGCGTGTAAGGTCATTGCTACTTCTGCTTTATTCTTATTTTGTTGGTGTCAGATGGATAGGAGGTGAAGCTCTCTAACAAGGAGGGTGTTCGAAAGCCCATACAGGACTGCAATCAAGTGCCTTGTAAAACCCCCATTCAAGGTGCCTAGGAACACCAAGGAAATCTTCTGGTCTGCACCTTGATTTGCGAGATAGTGAGCACAGGAATTTCCTGCGTTGAGGGTATGTATGATCTTGTAATCATTTTTCTGCATGAGGAACCTGCATTTCTGTTGAGTGCTCTTTGGGGTTGATCCCCGCTTTTGCTCTCCTTGATTGGCTCTATGGCTAGTGTTGAATCAGTCCCTACCATGACTTTGGGTATTTGCTCCTATGCCTCTTTTGCAGATTGTCCTTGGCCCTTAATGCAAATTCAGTTCAGTCAAGAAACTTGAACACTTCTGCAGCTTCCATTGGTAGCCACACATTTGTGGTCTCTGATGAGTCCCAATGCCAAGGTCTTGGGTTTCCTCTGGCACTTGCACCAGTTCTTGAGAGGTTTCATCCTAGGGAATGTGGTTTCTTCATGACAGGGACACACTTCGAACTAGATGTTTTCGTTGAATCGCGAAATCGTGGTTCTGGAGTGGATTCGTCAACCCCGTAAGAGGTCCCTGCAATTAACATACTACATATGGTTGAATGGGTTAATAGGTATATGCTCAGGCACACTTTTGAAATGTTTATCTCATCATGTTCCTAAGATGAGGAGCACACATTATTGTGTGCTTTTCCCTGGCCTGCTGAAATCTGTTTGTCTTATTCTCCTGTGGAAGATCGAACAATTCTTAACTTACCATTGTAATCTATCATTTGATGTCTGTCATTAGTTTCTCTGGCTTTATATGTATGTATATATATATATATATTTAAAGTTATGCTCAAATTTATTTATTTTATAAAATTATTTTATGTTATTTTATCATTTATTATTTGTTCTGTATGGTTTTTTGGAATGTTATCTAGTCATTTTAGGCGTCCCCTTAACTGCACATTGATGATAATGTGGAGCGTGGATAGAATTTTTGTAGTTTTGGTATTGTTATAACTTTTGTATGTTGTGAATGTAAGGTTAATTATTGAATAATCCTCACTTGATCTGTTTACAAGGTGTTTCAGCTCATTCAGATCTTCAGCAAACTGTTTCTTTCAATGGTATGAAACAAAATAAATGTGGTTCCAATATATCTGTCTGATCTTTTTGCCATGTTTTTCACTTGATTAGTGCACAATCAGATTATGCCAAGTAGAAGGCTTGTTTTTGTGCATTCAACTGATGTTGCAAAGTAGAGCAAACTGAGAGCCACTGGGCGGGGCAGGAATCAGTTCTGCCGTTACACACGTTTCTCATGATATGATGAAGTTAAAATTGCTCAAAATTAAGTTGGTTTTTGTTGGGAATTTCTCCGTAAGAGGTCCCTGCAATTAACATACTACATATGGTTGAATGGGTTAATAGGTATATGCTCAGGCACACTTTTGAAATGTTTATCTCATCATGTTCCTAAGATGAGGAGCACACATTATTGTGTGCTTTTCCCTGGCCTGCTGAAATCTGTTTGTCTTATTCTCCTGTGGAAGATCGAACAATTCTTAACTTACCATTGTAATCTATCATTTGATGTCTGTCATTAGTTTCTCTGGCTTTATATGTATATATATATATATTTAAAGTTATGCTCAAATTTATTTATTTTATAAAATTATTTTATGTTATTTTATCATTTATTATTTGTTCTGTACGGTTTTTTGGAATGTTATCTAGTCATTTTAGGCATCCCCTTAACTGCACATTGATGATAATGTGGAGCGTGGATAGAATTTTTGTAGGTTTGGTATTGCTATAACTTTTGTATGTTGTGAATGTAAGGTTAATTATTGAATAATCCTCACTTGATCTTTACAAGGTGTTTCAGCTCATTCAGATCTTCAGCAAACTGTTTCATTTCAAATGATAGGTCCTCTTTCAATGGTATGAAACAAAATAAATGTGGTTCCCATATTTCTGTCTGATCTTTTTGCCATGTTTTTCACTTGATTAGTGCACAATCAGATTATGCCAAGTAGAAGGCTTGTTTTTGTGCATTCAACTGATGTTGCAAAGTAGAGCAAACTGAGAGCCACTGGGCGGGGCAGGAATCAGTTCTGCTGTTACACACGTTTCTCATGAGATGATGAAGTCAAAATTGCTCACAATTAAGTTGGTTTTTGTTGGGAATTTCTTTTCATTCCATAAACCTTTGACACTTCTATTTTGCTGCTTTGTCTGGTTTTTGACGTTTGTTAAAGATTGATGAAATTGTTTATTGAGGTTATGTCCACCCTCCCCCCCCAATCCTCTCTCACATTTTTCACATTTTGCCATTTATGAGGAAAAGAGTTCCACAAAGAAGATAGAGATAAACAAATATCTTATTTCACATGTGCAAGAAACAACTTCCATGAGCTAGTTTGTTCATATCTAATACAAAAGAATTGGTGCCTAAGTTTCCATTTGTGGTGCATGTTCAAAAGTCTATTGGTCACATCCAGGTTGAGGATTCTAATCCTTCAGGTTTGGATCATTTTGTAGGAAGGTTCTCGGGTTAAAACTGTTCTGATTTGCTGTAAGTTGCCATTTTCTTAGTTTGTATTTTTAAAACAATTTGACAAAGTAATGAATAACACTACGGTGTCATGTTGTTGATCAAAAAAACACTATTGTGTCATGTTTTTAGTAAAGTCTCTGTATAACAGGAGAAAACTGATTACAATCATTGAGTACTTCACAGATAACTTTCTCAGTAGTATTTCTCATAGGTCTGAAATTGATCAAAAAAACACTACTGTGTCATGTTTCTAGTAAAGTTTCTGTATAACAGGAGAAAACTGATTACAATCATTGAGTACTTTACAGATCAGTTTCTCAGTAATGTTTCTCATAGGTCTGAAATTTATTACTGAATTCTGTGTCTGTAACTCCTTGTTAAGCCAATCCGACAAGCTTCTCACTGATCTCCCATACTTTACGTGCCTTCTCTGTGTCACTGGCTTCTTGAGAAAGCTGGTTTTCAAATGAGGCAGAATTCTTATTCCAGCTCCAGTATACTCCCGATTTTGTTAAGCTTGGCTCACTTACCACCTGGATCAGAGAGGGTAGTCAGGTTGGCGCACAGGTTAGAATGAAAATAAGTACATTTAGTTTTATAATGTGTTTTTTAACTGACCTGTGCAAGTCTTTTTCCAGCTTCTTCTTCAGAGACGTAACCCTTGGTGATGTACTTTTGGAAGGGTGGAAATAGTAGCCTGAACAAGGGGACGTGTTCCCTAAACAAGCCTGTCGTAGCAATGCAACCAGGGTAGAGGGAAGCAAAAGTTATTCCTGTCTCCTCATGGTAACGTCTGTGAAACTCTTGCATTGTTAGCATGTTGCATACTTTGCTGTCTTTGTAGGCCTTGGCACCATCGAAATCACCCCCATCTATCATGGGCGAGCCATTTATCGCATTCAAGCCTCCTGCAAGTCCCCTCAGATCCCCGAGGTTAGCCTTTGGAGGCACATTCCCAGCCAAGGTGTTTGTGTTTCCTGAAATTCCAGAAAAATTAATAATTAAAAATTAAAGGTAACGTTTGGTAGAGTTTTCTAAATATGATTTGAGAATAAGAGTTGTATTTTGAGTTTGTGAGTTTTGGAATTATGATTTGAGTGTAGAAAATTTGTTTAGTGAATGAGTTTTGAAAACAGTTTTGAATTGAGTGGGAAATTTTTGACGTGACATATGATGTTTGATACAAAAACTTACAACTCATAACAAAAAACACAACTCAAAATTCTATTAAAGCTCATAAATTTTTTTTTTAAAATTCGGAAAATATTTTTTTTAAATATATAAAAATTAACATGTGTCAATTGAAAAAAAAAAATAAAAAAGTAAAAATAAAAATTTGCATTGTTCCAATCAACCGGCCGGACGATCGGTTTGGCCAAATTTCAATTTTTTTTTTTGAAAATCTCGCCTGATACAGAGTTTTCTACAAAGTTTTTTGTTTGTTGCAAAAATATAGTTTGATCCAAACATGATATTAGAATGTTTGGGTAGATTTATAATTTGAAAATCCTTCTAAACACAGCCAAAGACTTTCAGAAATGGTAAGACATCAACAACGGGAGGGGAAAAAAACTTGCATTTAATTTTAGAGTTTTCTCCTCTGCTTTCCTCAATGGTATGCAAATGAGCGAAAACGATCTTTCGTTGCATTGTGTTTTCTTTTCTCTCATTAAATCCATGAATGAAATAGAGGTTTAGAACCACGTCATCCTGCTTATAGTTAATTTGTTTTCACTTTCTCAAATTTTTATTCATATTTAAGGGTGTTGCGGATCTTGGGCACACCAGGGGACACTCACAAGCAAAAACACAAGACTTTTAACGTGGTTCGGCAAACCGGCCTACGTCCACGGGAGCGATGTTGTTATATATCAACAAATGGAGGAGATTACACACTCTCAACTCACTGTCTCTCTGTATAACACACTCTCTCAGCTATGATGCCCTTTCTTTCAACTCACCATCACCATTCCATTTTATACACCAAAACAGAAGGTGGAGGAGGCCTCATGGGTGTGTTGGCTGCCAGCCCAATATTCTCCTTTGTTGCTGGCGTCCAGTTGAAAGCTTTGTCCCACCATGTGAAGACTTCACATGGCCAACTCCATGCTTTCTCCTTTGCCTTCCTTTTACCATGTGGGTTGGCCACCCTTCCATGTGGCTGCCAACTCAATTTGGGTTGATCTCCTACAAAATTCGGGAACTATGCATAAACGTTCTCATTTTAGTCAGTTTTTACTGTTAGGGAAGGAAAGCAGTGACTCCTCTCTATAAGAGTTTTCCAATGTTAATTAGAGGACCTATCTGGAGAAAGTGACCGATTATTAGGCTTTGGTGTCAGCCTATACTGCAAATTCTGCAAGAATCTTAGGTTGTGTTTGGTAGAGTTTTCTAAATATGATTTGAGAATAGAGTTGTATTTTGATTTTGTGAGTTTTGAAATTATGATTTGAGTGTGGAAAATTTGTTTGGTGAATGAATTTTAGAAAGAGTTTTCAATTGAGTGGAGAATTTTTAATCTGACATATGATATTTGATACAAAAACTTACAACTCATAACTAAACATAACTCAAAATTCTATTAAAACTTATAAATTTTTTTAAAAAATTCGAAAAATATGTTTTATTGAATATATAAAAATTAACACGTGTCAATTGCATATAAAAATAAAATAAATAAATAAAAATAAATTTGCACTATTTCGGTTAACTGACCGGACGACCTGTGGGACGTCCAATAGGACGTCTGGTGGGACGACCGGTTAGCCCAAATTTTTCCGCCTTCAACCGTGTTTTCAAAAGTAGGCGTAGAATTAATTTTAGAAATTTGTAAATAAACGCCCTGTTTAAATTAGCTCTGGAACGTTACACAGCCTTAAACTTTCTCACAGAAGGGAAGTCTTACTCTAGATAACTTATGCTAGTCTTTTAACTACACTTAAGGGCTTCTCATCTAATTGTATCATGTACTTACAAGTTTCTCTTTTTTTGAACTTGCTTAGCTAACCTTATTTTCATTTTTATTGCTATAGTATTTTGACTATTGTTACCGGATTTTGTTACTGAACGAGCTTTATGATTCTTCTTCTGGACGTCTTCCCTCTACATCCCAAATTTGTAATTCATCACTTGAGTGACGACTTGACCAGTTAGAAGCATCAAGATTCTGAATCCAAGTTAGTATACCTGTTATGGAGCCAACAATGACTAGACGCTTTGATGGGTAGTCTGATTTGTTCATGTCATCAAGCAGTAACCTTGACAGGAGGAAGTGTCCAAGATGGTTTGTGCCAACACTGAGTTCAAACCCTTCAGCGGTGAAAGTCGGCTCCTTTGCAGTAGGCAAGTAGACCGCAGCATTGCAAACCAGCACATCGAGTGGCCTTCCTGAACGGTGGAAGTTATCTACGAATTGGCGGACACTGTCAAGGGAAGCAAGTTCCAGATGCATAATGGTGTAGTTCTCCTTTGCAATGCCAGCTGATTTAGCAGCCCTTTCGGCCTTGAGAAAGTTTCTACAGGCCATAATGATGTGCCATTTTTCTGTTTCAGCTAAAGCCTTTGCTGTGGCTAGACCTAGCCCAGAGGAGGCTCCAGTGATTATAACATTGCCCTTTCTCAAAGTTTTCTTTGCTTCTGGTGCAGCCTGGTTGATTTCTGGAGTAGTAGTGACTGTTTGGACTACAATAGGTTTAACAGAGATTTTTCGTTTGAATTCCTGCAAGTCATGAAGCACAGCAAAAATATGAACGCCTAATCAAGATTGACAGTCTGATTGTATCCAAGTGATCAGTTTTGCAACTCTTACGTTGTGTTTAGTTGGGAGATTTGGGAAATGATTTGGAAAAAGAAAAGAAAAAAATGTGTGAAATTAGGTGAAATGTAAATATATTTTATTCACATTTCACGTACCTTTTCCCTTCCCCTTCCCCTTTCCATTTCCAAATCTCTTCCCAAATCCTCTAACCAAGCACAGCTTTAGCGTTTAAGAAGCTTCAGTGTTTCATAGTTTCAAGGGCAGATATGAAGTCCAGTTCAGTAAAAGCTCATTTCCAGTGTGTATCACATAGCATTTGCATTAAGTCAGTATTTATCTTATTCACTTTGAAGCAAATAATAGTTGGTTTTTGTGCAGTCAGAATTCTAATGAAGTATGTTCCTTCTCTATGTCATTTTGAAACATGTGTATCCTGCATGTTTTAGGGATACCATGAAACTACTTCTGTACTTTCTACAATTAGCTGCTGTTGTGTTGTGTAATGATTTTATTGTTGCGTGTGTTTCTGTGAAAAGAGTGAGAGACATATGCTTAGAGGTGTTTAACAAGGAAGCCATTTGTTGGGTTAAAAAAAAAAAAAAAGGAAGCCATTTGTTGAACTTTCCTTTCCCCTTGTTCTTTCCTAGAACCAATGGAGCCTAAAAAGATGACAACAATAATAGAGAGCTCTAATTTTGAAACTCTAAAGAGAACTCTAATAATGTGGCAAAAGCAGAAAAAAATACAAAAAAACAAAAATATAGACATACACATCACATCACATGTGGGTCCTACTCCTTGTTACATCACTAAAGTTCTCCTTAAAACTTCAAAATTAGAGCTCTCAATCTGGCATGGCTTACAATTCCTAGGATCAAATCCATCACACTCCAGACGGACTAGTCTAACCATAAGAAAAGGTGGAGGATCTTTTCTACTCCTCACCTAAATTAGGCTGTAGATGCTTTACATTGTTGAACTTTTGACTTGAGAACTTTTACTAGTCACAACATTTACAAATTCTCCGTTATTATATTTGATGTTCCATTCATATATATTTCTTCACATTCATGCTGAAAGAGATACTGTGTTTTCAGATGCTGAACAAGAAAGGAATTAACAACTTCAATTTTAATTAATTAAAGCCCCTTGTAAAATTATACTCCTGTTTCCAAGTTAACCAAGGTTTGCTGAATTCTAGACTCCTATTTTTGTTGTCCAGGCACAATTTGGTTTTCAAACATTATGCTTTGAAATTTCTGCTTCAGTTGGTAAACTTGTTTTGCAACCTATGAAGCACGGACACCTCTCCGGAGGTCGCGTACAGGTGTTTGACACGTGTCCAACATGGACATGCACCAGACATGTGTCGGACATGCTGGGATACTTTGGACACGTTGCAGACACGTTAGGACACGCAGGGGACATGCTGAGAACATGTTAGGGACATGTTAAGGACATGCTAAGTACTATTTTTTTCACAAAAAAAAAAAAAATTTTTTTTGCTAAAATAACATGCCCAAGGTTGATAAATTTGATAAAATTAAATATTTGACATAAAATACATATTAAATATTTAAAAATATACTTACAATAAAAATATATGTTTTGAATGTGTCCCCAACGTGTCGTGTCTTGCATTTTTTGAAAACTTATGTGTCCGCATGTCCGTGTCGTGTCACGTGTCTATGTCCGTGCTTCTTAGGTTGTAACCAGATTTTAAGTCTGCGTGATGGAAGCTAGAAACTTGTTCAGGTTTTTTTTTTTTTTTTCAATTTATTTTGATGTATTTAGGGTTGGCGTAATGGTAAGGTTGCTCCATTGCAACCTGGGTGTCATGAGTTTAATCCACAGAAAAAACCTTTTCCTGAATGCGGTATAAGGTTACATCTGAAACTCAACAGATCCTGCAATTGTGGGAGCCCTTGTGCTGTGCACCTGAGACTGCCCTTTTGATTTATTTTGATGTTTTCCTTCTGTGTTTTTCTGGACAAAGTCTTTCTCCAAAAAAATAGATTGATTTTTTTTTCTTTTCCCTCGAGCCCATGTATTTTTTTCACATGCACATTATCAGTGAAAAATAGGTGTCATCTATGAAGCTTCTGTCATATTATATTCTATTGTTTTTCAGGAAAATGTTTCTAACTTGCCAATCTTTTTTTGGCTGGGTTTTTTTTTTTTTTTTAAATTTTTTTTGATATATTTAGGGTTGGCGTAATGGTAAGGTTGCTCCATTGCAACCTTGGTGTCATGAGTTTAATCCACAGAAAAAATCTTTTCCTGAATGCGGTATAAGGTTACATCTGAAACTCCACAGATCCTGCAATGGTGGGAGCCCTTGTGCTGTGCACCTGGGACTGCCCTTTTGATTTATTTTGATGTTTTCCTTCTGTGTTTTTCTGGACAAAGTCTTTCTCGAAAAAAATAGTTTGATTTTTTTTTTTTCCCTCGAGCCCATGTATTTTTTTCACATGCACATTATCAGTGAAAAATAGGTGTCATCTAGGAAGCTTCTGTCATATTATATTCTATTGTTTTTCAGGAAAATGTTTCTAACTTGCCAATCTTTTTTTGGCTGTCAGAATTGTGGAGGAAAAAGAAAGAGAAAGGGTATCAGTATGTTACCTGGCTTGTAATGGGGTATGGCTTGAATTCAGCTTTGACGTTGTAGACTGAAACTCCAAAGAGACTTGTGTCCTTCAGAGAACAAGCATTGGGCTTCCCCTGTCAAACATATGGCACAAGTTCAATACACACATATATTAGAAGCACAGAAATGGAATGAAATTGAAACAGCTTTATTAGCAGCATACCTCTTTGCAGACTGAGATAGCAGATGGAAGTAAAGAAGTTGCTTGGAGAGCCATGGCTTTTAAACTTTCGAGGTAATTTCACTATGCTTTTCTTTAAGCTTTGTCTGTGTCAAGTTGAATGCTGTTTGTTTTAATGGAGAGATTTGAAGTAAATATGTGGAAAGTGGAAGTGTGTATTTCATCATATGGGTAGGAAGGATAAGATAGTTATTAGGGCTATTAATGGATATGCCATGTCAGCTTCTCATTAGCCAATCAGTGTTTGAGTTTTGGATTCCCACTGATATATGTAATGTTGTGTTTGTATGCCATATGGTTTGCTGTCCAGAGCCTTCTACACTTCCTACGTATGGTAATGGGTTGGGCTTTCTAGAAAAATGATTTTGGGTTGGGCTGAAAGGATATGTCAGTTAGCACTAGTTGTCTAGCAATTATAATGTCAATTGTGTGAATGAAAAAGTACTGCTAAATAAGTCCCATTTTTTCTTTTCGGATCACCCACTTCTGTGGACCTCACCTATCTAAATTTATCCCCATTTCTTTTTGAGCACCCACCTTAATCTCAATTATACCCCTATTTCTTTGAACCCCTATCCCGTCACTCCTTTCCTCTGGCAGCTCCCTTCCCAGCCTTACCTTCTTACGCCACCCTCACATCTGGCAGCTTCATTTACAGGCTCCTCGCCCTCAATTGCCTCCCCACCTCAACATTCCCCTTCCTAGCCTTTGCCACCACTTCGACTGTTAATGTATAATGTATATATTAATGTATAATATATTAATGCAATCACTACAGCCATACAGCTAGCTACAGGATAGAGCATAGGATTCTTCTTTCGGTTGCTTTCGGCCCATTTCTCTTTTATATGTTTTACTCTCATGATGATGTTATATAGCAGCTCCTACATAATGGAGCCTCTTCTTACAGTTTCTATATATTGAATCACAGAGCTTACTTACTCTTTCAATATCACTCTCTCAATATATTTTACAACTCTCTCAATATATTTTACATGGTATCAGAGCACAGGTGTTTTTCCTAGTCTCTTCTTGGCAGATTGCTGTGTATCTCGTTTGCATCACATTTTCTGTTTGGCAGATTGTTGCATATCTCGTCCCTATCTAAATTACAGATTGGACAACACAGAACCTTCGTCTCTTCACTACGAATCTGTTTTCTGATGCACTTACTCCTCCGCCCCTGCCAGCCTCTCTCGAGTTTTCTGATACGCTTACTCCACCGCCCCTGCCAGCCTCTCTCGAGATCGCCTTGCCTACTGGTCTGCCCCATGCACTTACTCGCTCTGATGGTCCTACTCTTGCTCTCTCGGGATCCTCCCCTCCTACTGAGCCTCTTTCTCTGGCTCCTCCTCCCTCTGCTCGACCACACCGGGTAACCCAACCTTCTACTCATCTTCATGACTTTATTGTTGGTTCTACTGCTTTTCCTACTTATGAACCGACCTCCTATTGTGAGGCTCGCTGTAATCCTCTTTGGCAGCATGCTATGACTGATGAATTGCAGGCTTTAGACAAAACTCATGCTTGGGACATTGTTGATCTTCCTCCTGGTAAGGTTGCCATTGGCTGCAAATGGGTATACAAAATCAAGACCTGTTCTGATGGATCTATTGAGCGTTACAAAGCCCGCCTTGTTGCCAAAAGCTTCAACCAAGAATATGGTATTGATTATGAGGAGACCTTTGCTCCTGTTGCTCGTCTCACCTCTGTTCGCACCTTGATTGCTGCTGCTACCACCCAACAATGGGATCTTTATCAACTGGACGTGGAAAATGCTTTCCTTAATGGTGTTCTTCTCGAGGAGGTCTACACGCAACCTCCCCCTGGGTCTACTTATCCACCTCATAAAGTCTGCAAACTTCAGCGTGCTTTATATGGTCTAAAACAAGCTCCATGCGCTTGGTTTGCCAAGTTCAGCTCTACCATTCATGAATGTGGTTTCACCTCCAGCTCTTATGATACTGCTCTTTTTATCCGAAAAACAGCTCAAGAGACCAACCTGCTTTTGCTTTATGTAGATGACATGATTATCACCGGTGATGATATCGATGGTATTCTTCGCTTTAAACAGTTTCTTAGTCATTATTTCGAGATGAAAGACCTTGGTCCTCTCAGCTTTTTCTTGGGCCTTGAAATCTTCTACGGGTTCTTTTCTCTCTCAGGCTAAATATACCTCTGATCTTCTCACACATGCTGGTCTTACGGATTGCAAGACTACTTCCACTCCCCTGGAGCCTCAGAGTCGTCTTCCACCTCTTGATGGCACTCTTCTCTCTGATGCTACCCTATATCGTCAGCTGGTTCGCAGTCTTGTCTATCTCACTATTACTTGTCCTGATATTGCCTATGCCGTTCATATTGTCAGCCAGTTTATGTCGGCTCCTCGTACCCCTCATTATGCTGCTTTGGTTCGTATCCTTCGGTATCTCAAAGGCACCATGTTTCATGGTCTTCATTATTCTGCCCGCTCATCTCTCCAGCTTCGTGCTTTTTCCGATGCTGATTGCGCTGGAGATCCTACTGACCGCCGCTCTATTACTGGGTTCTGTTTTTTTCTGGGTGATTCTCTTATTTCTTGGCGCAGCAAGAAACAATCTCTTATTGCTCGTTCCAGTACCGAGGCCGAATACGGTGCTCTTGCTGATACTACTCAGGAGCTTCTATGGCTTCGTTGGCTTCTTGTTGGCATGGGTGTTACCCCCTCTGGTGCTACTGACCTCTTTTGTGACAATCACAGTGCTCTTCAAATTGCTCACAATGATATTTTTCATGATCGCACCAAGCACATTGAGATTGACTGCCATTTTATTCGTCAACACGTCACTCGTGGTACTGTCCATCTCTATCCGATCTCTTCTATTGATCAACCTGCTGATCTCTTCACCAAAGCTCATTCTCCTGGCCGCTTCGTTGACCTTGTCTCCAAACTCCAGTTGGTTGATGTTTGTCCTCCTTGAGTTTAAGGGGGGCTGTTAATGTATAATGTATATATTAATATATAATATATTAATGCAATCACTACAGCCATACAGCTAGCTATAGGACAGAGCATAGGATTCTTCTTTCGGTTGCTTTCGGCCCCTTTCTCTTTTAAATGTTTTACTCTCATGATGATGTTGTATAGCAGCTCCTATATAATGGAGCCTCTTCTTACAGTTTCTATATATTGAATCACAGAGTTTACTTACTCTTTCAATATCACTCTCTCAATATATTTTACAACTCTCTTAATATATTTTACATCGACAAATAGAGAGAGAGAGAGAGAGGGGGAGGGAGTGGGAGAGTGAGGGTGGCTGGAGTTTGGTGGTGGTGGGTGGTGGTTAGAATTAAGGTTTGAGATGTTAAGAATGAGAATAAAACTGGAATTTCATGACTTTCACTATGTTATTTGACACCCTTAGCTCTAAATTTTATGTGGTTTGATCATAAAAATGTACATGGCAAAATTTATTTTCTTTGTTTTATATATTTTCTTATAGATATTTGTGTGATGGACCATTTTTTTTTTGGGGTATAAAAATCGAATCAGAAATAAGCTTACTTGTCCATTTATAAATTTTACAGTTAGAAAATTTGGAGTTTTTCTTCAGGTTTGGTTTTGATCAAAAGAGTTACATTTCAAGTTTCTCAGCAACTTATCTTTCTGCCGAAAGTCACATAACCTGTAAAATTTTACAATCATTTTAGCTTTTCTATATTATGTAATTAGATTTTTCAGATTTCATTGTATTTTTTGATTAACTGCTCATTTTCCACCCAAATAATTCCTTTCATTTGCAAGCTAATAAAAAATTGAAAATATCAAATATTTTAATTCTTCTTTAAGTTTTTTTATATTCTGATTCTTTTCCAAGTATTTGAATAACTGATTTTTTTTTTCTATTTTTTTTTTCAGAAAAGCGGAAGAGAAAATTCTCTCTCTCTCTCTCTCTCTCTCTCCAGTTCTTCTAAATCACCTTGAACTTTATGTATGCATCCATAGCAAATTCAATTTTCTTAGGTACCAAGGATATCTGTGGTTTTGCTCCTATTGGTAATACTGGGCACAAACTCTGGGAATGGTTCTAATGGTCAAACGCTCCATGAGATATATTAACTTGTAATTTATGCTTCTTGAGATGCTTATGATGCCTTAACTTGTCAATAGACTAAATCTTACATTGTGTTTGAATTATGAATTTGAATAAAAATTTAGAAAGAAAAAAGGAAAATTGTGGAAAAATTTAACTTATATTTCATCCATATTTTTCTCATATTTTCTCTTTTTTTTTTTAAATTTCTATTCAAATTTATGATCCAAATATATCTGTAAGATTATAATAAATTCATATTTTTCTTGACATGTGAATTAAAAAAAGACTTCCCTGGCTATGAAGTAAGTAGATTTCATGAGTTAATAATTGATCAAACTATTTGTTTTATGCAGAAGGCAATGCAAGCAGCCATCAATTATGTTGGGGTTTGGTTTAAAGAATGGTACAGTGGCTTCTCTAAATATCCTCAAGAAATTATTTCATTTCATATTTTTATTGACCAAATGTTTTTTAATCATATCATTTTCTCATCAACCATGGTGTCTGTATCCTGCCGTAGCAAATAAGAAATTAAAAGATGATCTCATGGGCCGGCAACTAGGCCCACCATTTAATGACCTAACTTAGGAGATTAAATTGGGGTTAATGCATTGCCCATTTTGTGCTTAATTTCCTTTTTCTTTATTCTATCCTTCCTCCTTCTTTAGTGCATTGCCCATTTTGTGCTTAATTTCCTTTTCCTTTATTCTATCCTTCCTCCTTAAGTCTATCCTTGATGTTGATTAACAACTCCACAACTCATAAGATATTCCAAAGCATTTTTTTTTTTTATTTTTATTTTTAATGAACTCAAGGAAGGCATTAGAACATTTCCTATTTATTGTAGGTATCTAGTGTTCGATTTATTGGAAAGAAAGTAGAATGGAATGATCATTTAATTAGAATGTCTATTCTTATGTTTGACTCACCCAAAAAAAAAAAAAAAACAATGAAAAATGTATTGTAAATTGAACAAGCATGCACCATGGCAAGTGAACACATTAGTCTATGGGGAAGTTAAAATTTGACCATTTCATTTTAGTGAACTAAACATTATGATAGAGTTTCAATTCCTAATCCAATAGAGTGGATGGGATGGCTTCATGGTTGGATCCTTAATAATGCTTCAAAACATTAACCATGCCCTGTTATAATCTTATTGTGATAATTCAACGTCATAAGTTTGAAGTTAAAAAAAAAAACTTGTTGTTTTGGAGTGTCTATTTTGATGCCATTTCACTTCAGATTTAAACTTGGGTCATTTGATTATATCATTTGTTACAAGCGTATTGTTATTGTGTTTTTTTTTTTAAAAAAAAAAAAAAAAACGACTGGAAAATCATGGCAAAGATCTTGATCCTGGTCATCCCATATCACCACAACCAATTAAAATACAAGCACTTCAAATAAAGGTACTTCACAAACAATGTGGGTGTAAAAATGTTTGAACTGATTGATTCTATTTGCTAAATGGAACATGATAACATTACAATAGTAAGATAAAAACTAACAATGTAGAAAACTATATAGCTTGTTCCCATCCTCAAAGCTGGAAAAACAGAGCTTGCAATGGATGGTTCAATGGAGGAGATCACAAAACTGTCTCCTTCTAAGCTTGTCCTATTCTACATGAAACATTATCAACAGCCCAAATACATAATAGTTTCTAGCTAGTTATTACTACTACTACTACTGAAAATGCATGTAGTGAACTGCCACTGTCAAAAGGCCTAAAAATATGCAGCCGTTGTGTAGCAGATGGGGTAGGAGGGGAGGATCTAGAAGCGTCCTTAGGCTTTTGTAAAAGAATAACAAGCACAAACCTGCCACAGGACACAGAATGTATATGAATAGATTAATTTTTTTTTAGTGTAAAAACCTGTGTCGGGTTCTATGACAGTTTCTGTGTTTGTGAAAAGGAAGTAAAAGGTTACTGAGCAGGTTTGAAGAACTCAATGGAAAAGAGAGGTAACAATGCTCCATAGAAAAATATCACAGGTTGTTTTGTCAAAAATCAGCAACCAGTGAGAGAGGCAAGGAAGGAAGGAAGGAAGGGGAGGGAGGACTGAGGATTGGGTTCAATAATAAAGTAAAAGAAAGAGAAGTAAAAGTAATGAAATCACAGGCTGTTTCTGTGGAAAAATATGCAACCCGGTGAAGATATCTGAGGAGATTGTCTAAAATCTTTTCTCCAACTGAGAGAGAGAGAGAGAGAGGGGGGGGGGAAGAGGTCTTGTGTGTGAATATTCAGTCCTGATCCTTCCAAAAGAAGGGCTTCATAGGGCATGAAGAAGAAGAAGACGATGAATCAGCCGGGGCGATGTTCTGTTCCTGTTTTTGAGGATTAGAACCACTCAAGTCCTGCTGATGAACATTGGCAAAAGGAAGATTTGAAGGCAACAGAAGATTATTGGTTGTGTCCAAATCATCCCAAACTGGACTACCTGGACCCCAACCAGCTGGAATTGCATTCATCCAAGCCTCTGCCATGTCACCCCAAACCAATTCCGATGACTCCAAAATACCTTCCCCTGCTCCAGAACCCCCTGCAACTGTGACCTCGCTCGACCCCAATCCCGAATCCTCATCTGGGTTATCTTCTTGAGGTTTGGGCCACTCTGGTGGTGGCATTTCCATACTTGAAACCTCCAAATTTGGGCCTTCTGAAGCTTCCTGAGGTTGTTTCGAGTACCGGCTAGGAGCCAAATTTCCATGGGGAGTAGGAGGAGACGATGAAGATGAACCGGGCGCTGACGAAGCTGCTCTGTCTTTATTGAGGAAGAGTTCGGGGAAATTGAGCCGAGCATTCTCTCCCCTCAACTTAAAGGCCTCGCGATCATAGGCTAAGGCGGCGTCCTCTGCTGTGTCAAAGGTGCCGAGCCAGAGGCGAGTCCTGTTTCGAGGGAGACGAATTTCAGCTACCCATTTGCCCCAATGTCTCTGCCTCACTCCTCTGTAGAGCTTGGTAGGTGAAATAGGGGGCACTGGAGGCCTAAACAAGCCCCGACCATCCTGTCCCAACCTGTTCATCATCATCATCCTTCCTCTTGGACTCAAATTCAGTGCATCACTCCAGTACTGCAGTAATTGCTGCTGTGATGGAGCCGAGTCTCCGGCAAAGTATGGTGGGAAGCCTAGGCTTTGGTTCTGAGGAGCAAAGGAAATCATTTGCTGTTGATTTTGTGGCGGTTGAAGGAACAGAGGAGGCGGGTTGGTTTGGAATTGGTGTAGATTTTCCATGGATTGTTGAGAATTATCCAAGGCAAAAGGAAATACAAGCCTTGAAGATGATGATGGAGGGAAAGCTATGGGTGCTGTAGTAGTGTAAGGAACAGAGGATGAGAGAGACAGAGAAGGAGTTTGTTGAGCTGAAGAAACAGAGGATTGAAATGGGTCTTGGCGTTCAGGACTTTTGACCTTCTTGAGAGGCCTACTTGACATGGAAGCTTCTTCAAAAACTGGCTTCCATTGTGGCCTCTCGAAGCCGATGTCGAAGTCCTTAGTTTGGTCTCTCACCCATTCCATCTGGGCCATCTTCTCAGTTTCTTCAATAACTTTTTTTGATTTGCCACTATTCCCAGATTGATCCATTGACACACAACCACCAAATTCAACAACCAAAGCTCGAAAACTCTAGCCGCCCGCTCTCTCGATACTGAAATGAAAAACTACCCTGATAGTTCAAAAAAACAGGGGTTTGAGAGAAATTTGAGATGGGTCACCAAATCAAAAGAAGGCAAAAAATTTGAAAACCCAATTGAAAAACAAGTAAAATTTTAAAAGCCCAGATCCTGATTTTGGTCAGAAAGTATGTAGTAATAAAAATAAAATAAAAAAATTACAAGACCCAATTTTGAAATCTGGGTTTGATTTCAATTTCTAATATCTTTAAACCAAAACAGAGCAGAACACAATAAGCAATTAATTTGAGAGTAACCCATCCCAAATCTCTGAAATTGAGAGAGATGATTGGTATAGAAGAGAGAGAGAGCGAGCGGCTTTGAGGAGGAACAGAGAGAATCCAACTAGTTGATGCTATGGTTGTTTGTTTATTGTTTGGTGTGGTGTGTGGGAACCAGAAGCTGAAAAAGCAGAGGATTGTTTTGTGTGGGAGTGGCGAGAGGAGGTGGCTTTATAAGAGCCCGGAAAAAGATTTTTTTTTTTTTTTTTTTAAGTCCGAAGCCCAGAAAAAGATTAATTAATATATTATTAACGTATTAGTAGTATGATATTATTATTGATTTCACTTATTATATAAATTATAAATATTAAAAATTTCTTAAATTATATAATATTATCAATTAATACATTATATAATACATTAATTAGTATATATAATAATATTCTTTGATTTTTATTCCTGGAGAGAGAAACAGAAAGATAAATAGAGAGTGTGTGAGAAGAATCTTGATTGGTCTGTGCTATATTGGGTTGGTCCCACGCGGCTTCTTCTTTCTTTACCTTCCGTCGCTTCCACTCCAATCCAACCATCCCCTCTTTCTGGCCTTCACTACTTTTCTCTCCCTGAAATTTATGATTATGTTTGGTTTGCGTTTGTAAAGTAATTTTTGAAATAAAAAATATGAAAATTTGTTTAATTTATCTTTTTTTAAAAAATTATTTTGAAAAATTATTTTGAACAGATAGTTTTAAAAAAAGTGATTGATTTGATATATATGAAAGAAAGAGTAATTTTAAAAAGTAGATAATTAAACAAAATTTTGAAATGTTTTTTAGAAAAATTTATTTAATTTAATTACTCTTAAAAATTTATTTATAAAAAATTTTCCTTAAAATTTTTTTTAAAAAACAAATCAAACAAGGTCTATATTTTTATGTTTCGCTCTATGTCTATCTCTAATTTACAATTGGTGTCAGTAATTTATCGGTAACGATGACATGGCAAACGATGATAGGCTTCTTCAGTTCGATATTCTAAAAGACAAATGTTATAGGTAGGGGTGAGCAGCGGATATATCGATTCGTCAAAATCGAACGAATCGAATTAATCCGTCGCATTTTGGACAGATGCGTGATGATGAGTGGACGGTTGCGAATTGATTTTCTCCAATCCGCTAATTTGGCTGACGGATGGCAGATTTGAGGTTCCTTTGGCCGCAACCGAACCGCCAAACCTCGAGCATCCTTAGTAATTTATTAGACTTTGTGTTTTCAATTTGTTTAAATATTTTGTTTGTATTTTCAATTGAAAAAGAGTTCAAATATTCTGTTGAAATTTTTTTTTAACTTGAATATATTTTTTGAATTGAAAAAATAAACGTATTATTTATCTATATTTTTTGGTTTTTAAATCTAACTCTAAAAATAATAAATAGAAAATATGATATATGGTGGTTAGTTTTTGTTTTCAAAAACATATATAAATGTAACAATACAAAAACATACAATCTCTACTATTGCTCTGTTCATGGTTTTGATGGTTTGAATTGTTTTTATATTTTAAGAACAACAGATGGTAATACTTTATGTAGATGAGACATACTGTGATTGTAATATGTAGATGAGGCATGCAGTGATTGTGATATTCTAAAGTTTCAAACTTTCTTTCTTTAGATAAAGTATGCAGTAATTGTAATACTTTTTTAAGTCATTGACTGTAATATTCTTTTTTTTTTTTTTTTGAGGAAGTGCACAAGTTGAACTATGTTGAAAATTTATAAAATTTCAAACCGCCAAATCGATTCGCATCCATCCGCCAAACCGCCAATCCGCTCAATCTGCATCCGCCGGATTGGCGGACAGATATGGATTGATTTTCTCAAATCCGCCAATTTGACGAACGAATGGCGGATTAGAAGTTCCGTGGCCGCAACCGACCCGCGCCCACCCCTAGTTATAGGTGTTAAATTTTTTATTAAACCAATGATGAAATATCTTATATAGACATGAAACATTTAATTATTTATTTAATTAAAAATTTAATATTTCGAATATTATCCTTTCCTAGAATCTCAGGATCTCATCAAATTGTATACACCAGGCTTGTTTTTACTTTTTAAAAAATACTTTTCAAAAAATTTTATTTTTTTATTTTTCATATTTTTTTATTTTTATTGAATTTTTTTAATATTTTAAGCAATTTTTTTACTTTTTAAGCACACCTAACATAAATACACCTAAAAAATAAAAAAAAATTGTAAAAAAAATCATTTAAAAATTCACTAAATATAAAAAATACAAAAAAAATATAAGAATTCAGTATATTTTTTATATTTTTATGTATTTATTAATTTTTTAAAATATTTTTTCACAAATTTTTTACTTTTTTGATATATCTAAGTAAGGTAAATCTAAAAAAGTAAAAAAAATGTTTAAAATTTAAAAAATATTCACTAAAAACAAAAAAATACGAAAATAAAAAAAGTTAATTTTTAAAAAATTTAATCAAGAAAACTCAAACCAAACACATTGATAAGTTATTCGGATAACAAAAAAAATATACATATATATCAAATTGTATACTTTCATGGTGGGTTTGGCTTCTGTTATTTCAGTTTGAGAGACTCATTTTAATTTAAGAAAGCATTTGAATTTGATATATCTATTTGAGATTAATTTCCACGATATAAATCAATCATTTTTTTTAGGACTGATTGAGACTTCGTTTGGCAACTCTGGGGGCAATTTGGCAAGTTAATTTTTAACTTTTAAGTCATTTTGAGTCATATTATCTCTCATATTTTTTACGTACAAAATGACAAAACAATAAAAAAAACTAAAAAGTCAGCTTTTAACTAATTTTTCAAATCGCCTATCAATATTTTAGTCTAAAAGTTAAAAAGTCACTAAAAGAAATCAAAAGGCAAACCATTTATATTAAAAAGTTAAAAATTCATTTTTCCTCTACTTTTGCATATCTTTTCGTAAAAAATTAAAAAATATCACAAACATATTAATTTTTTTACCTTATATTTTAGTCAAAAAGTCAAAAAATATTAAAATAACATGTTCTTAAACAAGGCCTGAGTATAGTATTTATAGAAAAAATTAAGATGATTGGACATTGATAGTTGTATGTTTGAATCAAATTTGTATTATAAAAAATGAATGACTATTCTTAAAATTATATTTATAATCTATTTTTTAAAAATAAATATGATTCAAACATATAACTATCAATATTCAATCATCTTATTTTTTTGTATGTATATTTTACTCTAAGAGTCCTGAAAAAGAATGGTTTGGATTATCGAAATTAATCTCAAAATGAGCCTATCAAACCTAAATATTCTCTTAAATTGAGATGACAACTTGAGAATCCTAACCATTTATTGGTGAGGTAAAACAAACATTATTGTAGTTTACATTTTTTAGTCAAATGTTAATTAATGTTTTTAATACATTTTTAGTATTGAAATTAAGATAAAAATATTTTGAGAATAAATAGGGAATTTTAAAAATTAAAGTCAATAGAAAGTAATTTAAAACAAATAAATAGTCCCTCCCTTGTTTTTTTTTATTTGAAAAAAATTATTTGTTCAATTTTTTCATAAACAAATATAATAAAATCAAAAATTTATAATTATTGAATCAACTTAATTATAGATGATATATATACAGAAAATCTTACAAAATGAATTATTCATATAAAAAAATAAAATTTATAGTGCGCTCCATAAATTCGAACAATTTTTAAAAATTTAAATTTAAAAGAAGTTAGAACCATTTCTTTAATAAGTTAGAGGATCGGAACACGGACTTTTTTTAAGTGTGCAACTTACACCTTACAATTACGCCTTTCTGTTTGTTGTCCTGTTTTATGTTTATACTTTCCATTTACACATTTTGTGTTGGTTGCATATGGTGTGCAACCTTAAGGGTTTGAACACCATAACAGTACCCTCGGAACACATAGGTTTATTCAAAGTTATACTTTTACACGTATATGGAAGGTGACTTCACTTGTAGATGTGTGGTGTGAATTCAACCAGGTAAAATAAATATTTCTTACTTACAAAATACAAAAGTTATAGGGTAAATTATATTGACTTTTTTTTTAAAAAATTATTTATAGGTTTAATGAAATTATATAAAATTTTCTTATGATTTTTGAAATGGCACTAACTTCCTCTTATTAGTCTTGAAACTAAGGTAAAAGTATTTTGAAAATAAACAAGGAAGTTTCAAAAAATTAAAATCAACAAAAAGCACTTTAAACTAATGAATAGTGCACCTTATTTGTTGTACCGAGCACTTGTTAAGTTATTACTTGGGTGGTTTATTTAAATTTTTTTTTTTTTTTAGAGATCAATATAAAAAAATAAAAAAAATTTAATTGTTGAATTAACTTAATTAAAAATGATATATACGAAAATTTTACAAAATAAATGACTTAGATAAAAAATCAAACTCATGATGAGTCTCATGAATCCAACAATTTTTACAAATTTAAACTTAAACGGAGTTGAACCATTTCTTTAATAACAAGTTGGAAGATTGGAACACATATATGTTTATTCAAAGTTATATGATCACACGTATAGGGAAGGTGAGTTCACTGATAGATGTGTGATGTGAATTGAATTGAACCAAGTAAACTTTGCTTAGTTTGGGTTTTTTAAAAACACTTTTCAAAAAAAATTATTTTCTTATTTTTTGTATTTTCACTGAATTTTTTTTAAATATTTTAAGATTTTTTTTTTAAAATTTTTAGACACTCCTAACATAAATACACTTAAAAAATATAATTTTTGGGAACAAAATCTTTAAAAAATTCACTGAATACCAAAAATGCATTAAAAAATATGAAAATTCAGTATATATATTTTAAATATTTTTGTGTATTTATTGATTTTTTGAAATATTTTTCACAAATATATTACTTTTTAGATACATCTAAGTAAGATGCATGTAAAAAAGTAAAAAAAAAAATACTTAAAATTTTAAAATATTTACTAAAAACAAAAAAATATGCAAAAATAAAAAACTTAATTTTCAAAAAACTGAATTCAGAAAAATGAAACCAAACACACAAAATTGTTACTTACAGTATAGGGTGAATTATACTAACATTTCTTATAATTTGAGATTTGTATTACTTTAGTTCTTGATTTTTTAATTAAAATATATTTAATTTTGAATTTTAAATCTT